GGATAGGTAGGAATAGTCCAAGGTGACCAGGGTTTAGCTAGGAAATGATATAAAGATAGCTTGAAGTTAAAAAAGAAGAATCAGCATGAGCTGCCTATGTTGGAAGGTTCCTTGAAGATGAACCTGGTGGACCTTGATCCTAGAGGCGATCCCACAGACGACAACTTGACCCCCAATCGGAGAGTTAAAAAAGGTACAAATCAGAGCTAAAGAGTTTCATGTTGCACAGATAGGCTCGGGAGTATCCCAGGAAGAGAAAGCATAAATCATCATGGTGTTAAAGAATAATGTCGACCTATTTGCATTGAAACCATCAGACATTCCCGATATTGATCTGAGTGTTGTATGACATCAACTTTCACTAGACTCAACGTTAAAAGTTGTAATGCAGAGAAAGCGAAAAAATGGAGAAGAAAAAAAGAAAGAAATTACATAAGAGATCGGTAAACTTCTGAAGGTCGGATTCGCGCAGGAGATAAGATATCCCAGCTGGTTGTCCAATGTGGTCATGGTAAAAAATAAATCAGGAAAATGGCGTATGTGTGTGGATTTCACTGATTTCAACAAAGCATGTCTAAAGAATCCTTATCAGTTACCACATATTGATATATTGATCGGTGCCACTTAAAGTTTCCGTCTACTTAGCTCCATGGACGAATACTCGGGTTATAATCAGATACGGGTGAGCCCGGCTGACGCATCCAAAATAACATTCATGACTGAAAAAAGTAACTATTACTATGAAGTCATGCCATTTGGGCTCAAAAATGTTAGGGCTACGTATCATAGGTTAATGGACATGGTGTTCTCATCACAGATAGGAAGAAATCTTGAAGTGTACGTCGATGACATGCTAGTCAAGATACAGGGGAGAGGAAGGAACGTAAATGATTTGAAAGGGACGTTTGTATCTATAAGGAGTTTCGATATGAGACATAATCCAAATAAGTGTAATTTTGTAGTACAGGCTGGAAAATTCCTTGGCTTCATGTTGACGCACCAGGGAATAAAAGTGAATCCATACAAATGTCGGGCTATATGAGAAGGCCGACATCCGTAAAAGAAGTCCAACAACTGACAGGGAGGCTAGCTGCCTGATCTCGATTTATATCTTGTGCGGGTGATAAATCTATACATTTCTTTGCATCTATCAAAAAGTCAGTAGAATTCGTATGGATGGAAGAATGTGAAAAGGTGTTTGTGGGATTGAAGCAATTCTTGTATGCCCCGCCGATCTTGGTCAGAACGAAGGAGAATTCATCTTTCATCTTGTATTTGGAAGTATTCGATAAGGCGATAAGCTTGGTGTTAGTTCAAGAAGACGATGGAGTAGAAAGGTCTATCTACTTTGTTAGCAAAGTTCTCATAGGAGGGGAAATTCGTTATCAAAATATTGAATGACTAGCTTTAGTAGTGGTAGTGACCGCCAGGAAACCCAGGCAATACTTCCAGGGACACCCTATAATAGTCAAAACAAACTATCCTGTAAAATGTATCTTGAAGAAGCCAGATTTAGCAAGCAGAATAGTGGCATTGACGGTTGAACCATCCGAATGCGATATCATGTACTCACCCATAAGAAGCACCAAGTCACAACGGTTGGCAGATTTCCTATGGAATTAAGTGCACCCATCCCAGAGGAAGTATAAAAATAATGGGTCTTATCAATGGAAGACTCATATAACCTCAAGGGCAGTGGATCGAGAATAATGCTAGAAGGATCAGGAGAATATATATTAGAGCAATCTCTTTGTTTCAACTTTCAAGCCAACAACAATTAAGCAGAGTACAAAGTAGTGATATTCGATTTAAAGCTAGCCAATAAAGTTGGGGTTTCTCATTTATTGGTCAAAACCGACTCGTAATTGATAACCAATCAAATCAAGGGTGATTTTCAGACAAAGGATGCATTATTGCTCAAATATCTGCAACAGGCTCTACAACTAGCCAAAGGTTTTGCAAAATTTAAGGTGACAAATATTCCCCAAGAGGAAAAATACTAGACCCGATGTGTTAGCCCGATTAGCTAGCACTAAAGGCACGGGGCTAAACAGAACGGTAATTCAAGAGACTTTAGAAGCACCAAGCACGGAGGACAAGGAGGTGACGGTACTAGAAAATGCAAAGAGTTGGATGACACCTATAATACAATACCTAACTTAGGATAAGTTACCATATCAAGAGATCGAGGCGCGATGCATCAAAAGGATATATTCTTGATACCTCATGGTAGCTGATCAGTTATACAAGATTGATAGATCTTCCCCAATGCTGAGATGTTTCTCCAAAGAGAAAGTAGGTTCCATAATGAAGGAATTACATGAAGGAGTATGTGGAAGCCGTATTCAAGGAAGAGCTTTGTTTAGAAAAGTACTTAGGGCCGGTATTACTGGTCGAGTATGCTGCAAAATTTTGCACAATTTGCAAACCATTGTGAGAAGTTTCAGATTTATGCCCCTTTATACATTCACCAACCGAATTGTTACACATGGTAATATCTCATTGGCCTTTCTATCAGTGGGGAGCAGACATTCTCAGCTTATTTCCTTTAGTTGTCGGGCAATTAAAGTTTCTCATAGTGGGAGTTGACTATTTCACCAAGTGGATGGAGGTTGAGGCCATATCTCGAATCTCAACATAAAGGGTAAGACATTTTTACTAGAGAAATATCATATATCGTTTTAGCTTACCAGGAACCATTGTAACCGATAACGGAACGCAGTTTATGAGCTCGACTGTTATAGAACTTTGCAGACATCTCCCATTCATAACCGAATTATGTCAGTCAAATATTCTCAAGCTAATGGCTAGGAAGAGGAAGCAAATAAGATCATCCTATTAGGCATAAAGAAGAAGCTAGATGAAGTAAAGGGGGTTTGGACTGAGTATTTGCACGAGATCTAATGGTCTTATCACACTACTCCTCACTCAACCACTAAGGAGACACCTTTTCGAATGGTGTATGGAGCCAATGCGATGATAACAGTGGAAGTCAATTATCCGACTTGGCATTGTTTGAATTTTAACAATGATCTTAATATGGAAGGGTTGGAGAACTCGACCGATTTCATAGAATAAATCAGAAGAATGACTCATGTGAGGGAATGCGCAGCAAAGCAAAGGATGGCCAGAAGATTCAACACCAGAGTCCGACCAAAAAGTTTTCAAGAGGGAGATTTAGTTATAAAAAATATTATAGATACACAGAAGAATGGAAAGCTTTCCCCAAATTGGGAAGGGACTTACTGGATCAAGCATAAAGTAAACAATTGAGCTTACAAGCTCGAGAACTTAGAAGGAGTAGAAATGTCGAGGGCTTGGAATGTTTCCAACCTTAGATTTTATTACAGTTAAACATTATGTAACGATATTATATAAATAAAAATTGTGGGTAACACTCTTTCCCTTGCAAGGGCAAGGGTTTTTAACGAGGCACCCTCAATTCATATGATTGTGTGTCACTTTTACAAAAGAGTTAAATTCACCCCGATGGTGATGAAAATCAGTTGACCTATGAAATCAGCTAAGTAAGTGTTAACTCTCTGGCCGAGTTAAGTTCAATAAAACTTCTGACCTATGAAATCGGCTAAGTAAGTGTTAAAACTTTGGTCGAGTTAAGTTCAATAAAACCTCTGACCTATGAAATCGACTAAGTAAATGTTAAACCTCTGGTCGGGTTAAGTTCAATAAAATCTCTGACCTAAGAAATCGGCTAAGTAAATGTTAAACCTCTGGCTGGGTTAAGTTCAATAAAACCTCTGACCCATGAAATCGACTAAGTAAATGTTAAACCTTTGTCCGAGTTAAGTTCAATAAAACCTCTGACCTATGAAATCGACTAAGTAAATGTTAAACCTCTGGCCGAGTTAAGTTTAATAAAACCTCTAACCTATACAATCAACTAAGTAAATATTAAACCTCTAGCCGAGTTAAGTTTAATAAAAACCTCTGACCTATGAAATCGGCTAAGTAATTATTAAATCTTTAGCCATGTTAAGTTCAATAAAACCTCTGACCTATGAAACCGACTAAATGAAGTTTAAAATTTCTAGCTAAATAAAATCGCTAACCTAGAAATGCTTAGTGAAATGGTGGAATAGATTCTTGATGTAATGGAGTGAATTTCCAGTACAACACTGCGAGGTGAATCTACAAAGTTATCACTAACGTCTAAGTCAGTGAGAAAATGAATAGTATTGTGAGTTATGGGTTAGAAAGAATACATCAAGTCTCACATGAGATTCTTTATATGATCGGTGGTTGTAAACATTCCCTACCATTTTAATATAGAACGTGGGAGATAGACTAATGACATCTAACATTAATCATCAACCCCTACCTGATATCTAATGTGAGTTTTAGAGTTGGGTTGCATTGCACACAGGATGCTTTAATGGAGTGGTGAAGATAAATAATTGAGTTTCCTCCTTTGGACCAATGACCAATCTAGAACAAATTTTATATTAAATTATTTTATATTAATTAAAATTAAATTATAAATAAATCTAACTTAGCGAGATCAATATTATTCTTATTACATCTAAAATATTTATATGAAATAACTTGGATATTTTTTACTTATTCACATTTTATAAATTTGAATCTAATCCTAATAATATGAGTATTAAATTTTTCTAAGAAGACTCTTGTTATTTATTATAGTTATTTCCGACTCGAGTAATTAATTTTTGCTTTTGTTTGCAGAGATACCCTATTATAACAAAAATAAACACGATGCACCATTATTACTAATATGATGTGAATGATAATAGTGAAATAAAAAAATGAAAAAGAATTAAGTGAGAAGTGAGAACACGTCTAACGTGGGCTTAGTCGAATAGTCAAACATACGAACGCGGTTACTGGATTGACTTCACGCTAAGGCAACGACAACTACGTCTTGACAGTAAATTACTATAAATCACACATCTTCTTCATACATCTCGTCTCACCAAACAAAACCAAAAAAGCAGATCCAGAACACAATCATCGAGAACAAAATGGGTGGTAGAAGAAGCATCACATGTCTGGCATCATTGATGGTAGCTATGGTGTTGATGATGAACGGTACGGAGGCACAAGACAACGCTTCTTGCGCTGCGCAGTTAACTCCGTGCGCTGAGTTCTTGAATTCTACGAAACCACCGAGCTCTTGCTGTGATCCACTGAAAAAAACAGTGGAAACTCAACTCACTTGTCTCTGTAATCTGTTCTACACTCCTGGTTTGCTTAAAAGCCTTAACATTGATGTTAATCAGGCTCTTGGCTTAGCTGGTAAGTGTGGGATTCCCGGCGGTCTCTCCAGCTGCAAACAGGGTATGTCACCTCTCTGTTTATCGTTTTTTTTTCTTCTTGTTAGTAGTTTTTTGTGTTATTGTTTGTATCAGATTTTGTTAATGGTAATTGTGTAAAAAAATTGAATTCAGTTTTCTAGATCTAAGGTGAAAAGAGAAAATAATAGATTTGACAATATATGGCGTATAAGTGGGGCAATCCTCACTCTTCCGACGGAATTGTAGGATAAAAATTACCCTTTATAAAATTAATTATGATTAAAAATGAAAGAAAATTAAAAAATAAATTTAAATATACCTATAACCGTATAAATACGGTGTGGTTGTAACTTTTGGTGTCATGACTCATGCTTGCCTTTCTCAATAATAATACATGTGTATGCATTAATTTTTATGCGTCATGTAGTATTGATCAACCTTTCATTATTGTTTCAGCTGGGTCAGCTCCAGCTCCGACTGCCGGCGGGTCCCCACCGGGTAAGAAGCTTCTTCACACCACCAGAAAAAACTTTAATATTTAATAACATTTAGATAATTTAATATTGATTTGACTTTTAAATTTTATTAAAAAAGTCCTTCGGTGGCAACTAATAAATATTTTATTGCAATTTGTCCCTTCAAAATCTTGCAGTTAAAGGCAGTGGTGATGGTGGTGATAAAGGAGGTGCAGACAGAGTCTCATTCACTGGGTTTTCATTTGTGGTACTCTTATTGGCATCCATGCTGTTCAACTAGGAAACTTGTACTGTATTTAATTTATCTATGTAATTCTTCCATATACATTGATTGGCTTGGCTACTTACTGAGTTAGTATTTGATTGCGTGTACTTTTTTTTTCTTCATTATTTTTAGGAAAAAAAAAACTTATTTAGTGAATGAAAGATCGTTATTCTTGTCAAATTCAATTTGGAGACCTGTTCTGGTGCTTTTGGTTGCTTGTTTAATTGGTGTTATTATTAATTAATTTATTGTCAAAACTCTTGTCGAATATTTTATGAGGACTAGTAGACTATTGAGTTAACAAAGCATACAAAGTTGAAATGTCATATTAATCGGTTACTTGATGAAAGCAAAATGGAATATTAGGTGTGCATGGGTTTTATCAAATTCGCATACGCAGCTTCTCGTGATGATTTAGACCCTACTTTTTTGTCTCTATGTTTTGTTAGTCTGTATTTTGGGCTGTCTAGACAGACAATTCTCGAAAGGACATTCTATTAAATATTTTAAGGATGTATACAGCCGACTTGAGATGATGATTTTTGTCTAATTCTAATCAACATAATTTCACGATAAATCATTTATGTTTTGTTTGGATCAAAATCGAAAGTGAAAAGAAAGAATTTTTTTTTTAAATGGTTAGAGAGGAAAAAAGTGAATGAAAAGTAGGTAGAAAATGAGATGATTATTTAGTTGTTGTATTTGATAGAAACGAAAGTGAAAGGGAAGAAAATACATATTTTATATGACTAAAGTAAAGTGCCTCTTATATAAAAAAACAAATATATGATATAAAATACATTGGTGTAGTTAGTTCTCGTTTTACTTGGAAGGGGCGGGGCTATGTGTAATGGATGAGGTTTTAACGCGTCGCTCTTATATTTATAATTGATATTTTTATATTTAGAGTATTTTTATTGTTATATCCTTTTATAATTATCGGAATTTTTAATTTATATGTTTATATTGAAAATTTGTACTTTGTATTAAAAATTTTGGACATTTTTATTTTTTTACTGCATCAAATACATATATATCTCAAATTTAAAATTTTCGATAAAAACATCTTGGAGGAGTTTACCAGAAATTATTAGATTTTCGAGAAATAGCATAAAATTTCTAGCATGTGCCACCGAATTTCAAAAATGCTTAAATTTTTGGTATTTTTCATATAAATTTGTTCAACTTTTTGATACATAACTAATTTGATAAAAAAAACTACCCGATATAATATTATACATAAGCTTCATCTTCTACTCATACGGAATATTTATGGGACAACATGTGCAAAATCTGGAAAAAAAAACATGTGAATGCTGTTGCCTTAAGGAGCGGAAAAGAATTTGAAAGCGTTGGGGAGAAGGAGAGTGAAAAAAATTGATTTGTATGTAAGGTTGTGAAATATGTTAGACAAGTGACTTTAAGCATAAGAAGGGAAGAGGGGGTTGATTATGGTATTCAAAAGTCACGTTTAATTATAAGATTTTTTTTAGTTAGAAAATAAATTTTGTTAGTATCTTTTGAGATCAAAGAGAAATTAGCCGTGAAAATATAAAAACAGTAAAGAAAATCGAAAAAAGTAAAAAAAAATAAATAATGGTTTAGAGATATGGTATCAGTGATTTATAAAGGTTTGACCAAATGTTGTCCTACTCCTGTCCCTAGGGCTGGCAATGAACCGAACCAACTCGAAAATAGTTCAAAATTCGATTCGACAATTAGATCGTTGAACTAGGTTCATGAACCTAATGAGTTGAGTATGAGCGAAAAATTAAGTTCGTTAACTAAATGAGTTGAACTTGAACTCTACATAGTTCGACTCGTTAGGTTCATGAGTCAACTCGATTACATATGAGAATAATTATAATGTCTTTAAGATTAGGTTTAAATATTTAATCTAAATCTTAGACAAATTTAATCTTCAACTTAGTAGTTTTTGAATTAGACTCTCAAATGTATCTCTTGAAAGTTGTGTAAGTTTTGAATTAGTAGATTTCGAAGATAAAGTTAAATTTCAATATGATAATTTTTATTTTATTTTAAAAAAAAAAATATTTATTTAAAATGTCAAATATACTAAAAAATATATATATTTTAAAAAATAGTTTTTAAGCCCGTGAATCATGTGAGCTGATCCTAATGAGTTGAACCAAACTGTTCGTGAACTTATAACAAGTCGAGTTTGAGCTTAAAAAAAGGTTCGTGTTGAACTCGAACTCGAACTCGAGACAATTCTTAACGAGTCGAGTTTGAGCTTAAAAAAAAGTTCGTGTTGAACTCGAACTCGAACTCGAACTCGAAAAATTCTTAACGAGTCGAGCCGAGCTGAGGTGAGTTCGACTCGACTCGACTCATTTCCAGCCCTACGGCTGTCCCTAATAGATCTTCTTGAGATTTTGACCATAAACTTGAGTTTTACAAGTTATGCCCACAAACCTTTATACAAATTGACCTTGAGATTTTACAAAGGATTATCCCCAACCAAAATGAAAGCTTTTACCTAGGCTAAGCTAAAAAAAACGTCTATAGAGATTTTCCAGACTTATCTCAATAACCAAACACAACTTTTTTCATAAACACTCTAACACCAAAATATAGATTTTATGACTCGTTTATCCCAAGAATGAAACTTGATTCCTCAAGAGTATCACATCCTTGGGATTTATAACAACATCACGACACCAATACAATTCCTCTCAAGTAGTTTTTCACTCAAAGGTACTAAGGCAATTTAAGTTAGAAAAATATATTTTCAAAGAGAGAAAGAGAGAGATAAGTTCTAAAGAAAATAGAGAGCTTAAAAAAAAAGGTCTAAAATGAGGAGGAAGAGACACTCATTTATGTAGGAGAAGGGAAATTCAAAAAAGGAAAATCATCATGGTGTTTTTAATGGCCCAATCGATTGACTCCTAACTCCAATCGATTGAATGGGTCAAATAATCGGTTGTTTTTTGCATATTTTAAAAATATTTAGATGGAAAGTCGTTGTCAATCATTAAGACACTATCATAAATGATTGCACAATATTTTAGGATTCTTACAATCGATTGGCTTAAGGTCTCAACCGATTGGGTAGTTCAAAAAAGTCTTTCCAATCGATTAGATTAATGTCCCAATTAATTGGGTAGTTCAAAAATGTTTTTAAAAGGAAGCTGAAAGTTTACTAATCACTAGGATCGAGTTTTAAAATATTTATAAGAGATTTAATAGTTAGAAAATATGTTTTAAGTGTATATGTGTGATTTGTCTTAGTATCTTATGAGTTACTTTTCTACTTTCACAAAATTCTGGTCACTCAAACAGACATGACCAAACGAGCTTTCACACGTCCTCTCTTTCACAACTATGAAGCTTTCAAGATCCTTCGCTAGACGCATAGATCATACAAGCACTTCAATAGATTTTTGAATCTCCTACTAGACTAGACTTGAGATGTCTTCTAGTTTGGTCACCATCATCAGAGAGTTGAAAATTCATTACCACTAATTTCACCCCTCTTTCAGATAGGAACTTCATACATGCAAGTACATACATCCATATAATAAAAGCCATAGAAACCTTATGTATTTCCCCAATTTTATAAGTCTTCCATCCTTTATAATATGCATCTACAAGAAGCAGTAGTGGATGCATTGGATATCAAAATGGAAACACTTAGCTTAGGGAAACCTCTAATTTCCCCAACTAACCAATTGAACAATGTAAGATGTAATTTTAGTGGAGGTCCTTATTTCATTATGCATTGTGAAAATCATATTCAAATAAATGAAGGACAAATGAAATCGGTTGACATTCTTAACAACCAAAATGAAATTCTTGAACCAATGACCGCCAAAAGTTCTATATGGGGGAATATAGGTCTTCCTTGCACTAAGTGGCATATATATTGGACTTTGAGAAAATGTTTTTGTTTTCTTTTGGAGATGACTTCTTGAGGTGTAGTCCCCTCTTCCATGTTCTTATTCCATTATATTTTGTTCTTTGATTGTCTATTTCTATAGACACCTCAAAATATTTTGCAACAAATTTGTCAAATATTGAGTTACATATGGGAAATGACATTTGTCAAATATTGAGTTACATATGGAAAATGACATTATCTTCTTGTTTACATTGCATTTCTTTTGTAAAAGTTCAACCGAAGTATCCCTAGCTCAAAGATAAGTTTTATGTGAACATTATTTTTTGAAGTTTTCATCGATGGTTTCAATTTTCTCTTTTCCATTGATATGTTTCATTTCAACCATGCAAATACCTAAGTTAAGCTTAACATATTTAGTGGCTACTTTGAATAAATCCTCACCCACTTTCATTGAAGTTTTAGGTTTGTCTTCAAGTACTAACATTCCCTATTCAATTGTATCTTTATAGTATCCCTAATATGTATACAAGCATTAATATGATGGCCACGTGTACTATTTATTTTATAACATTTCCTTCCTTGATTATGTTCCCAAGGGAGAATTTAGTTGTCATCTCTATTAAGATTTTTTTATCTTTGAATAAGAAGTCAAAGCTTTGAGATGTCTTATTTATGTCAAAACCACATGTTATAATATTAATATTAAATGTATGTCTTGATTTCAAAAATTTAAAATTAGATCATTTATATGGTAGCTTTTTTAATTTATGGAGTATTTACACATCCATAACTTATTCTTATGATTCATTTTCTAATTCCTCTCTTGATCAACCAATGCTACATGAATCGTTCTCTATTTTTAAAAATAATAGTAAATTTCAAAACGGATTAACTTTGAGTGAATGAGAATCAACCTTTGGCCGAAAACGACCCAAATAACGACCAATTAACTTTGAGGAAAGATCTTGTAAGTTCACACAAGATCTAGAGCTTTGCATTCAAGATCATACAGATGCACCTTACATGGGTACAAATGAGTTTCATTCCAAACAAGGAGAATATATACATATATGTTCTTTTATTACATCAGTACTCTACATATAATACGCAAAAAAAAATTGAGGTTGACATGGCTATTCCCGCAGGGAAACGA